ACATCGTGAAGACCTGCTTGAACGTCTCGATGCTCTGAGAAGAAAGGAAACCTTTTGCGATGTGACAGTTGCAGTGAACGGCAAGGAATTCAAAGCTTACAAAGTCGTTCTAGCTGCGGCCAGTCCGTTCTTCCTTTCGCTTTTGGAAAGCGACATGAGAGAAAGAAAAGAACAACTGATCGAAATCAAGCTTGAAGAGGCAACTGCTTCCGTTATGGAAGACGTGCTACAATACATCTACACTGGAAATGTTTCCGTCACCGAGGAAAGCTGCCACAATTTGATCGCAACAGCGGATTATCTTCTTTTACCTGGATTAAAAACATTGGCTGTTGAATTTTTAAAAGAGAAAGTGACAGTTCAAAATTGTGTCTTCAATTTTTACTTTGCTAACAAGTATCATTGTACAGAGCTGACAGAAATGTGTTGCAGCGTGATCAATTTGAATTTCAGTGATGTAATGAAAACTGATGATTTTTTGAACCTTGACATGAAGCAAGTAATGGAATGGGTGTCTAGTGATGACGTCAATGTGAAAGCTGAGGAGGAAGTATTCACGGGAATTGTGGAGTGGGTGTCCCACAACAGAAGCGAGAGAGAAAGCTGTTTTCCTGATTTGATTCGCCAGATCCGCCTAAGACCTTCATCACAAGACATTCTACTAAAAAAACTTGTAAATGAAGACCTTGTTACTACGAATATTGAATGCATGAACTTTGTCCTGAGATCCATTGTTCACTCAAATGAAAGTCTTTCCAGAGAACCAAGAAATTGCTTGAAGGTGCAAATGGAAGGAATTTTTCTGTGTGGTGGCAGGAAGGCCTTGTGTTATCTTCCCCAAGTAAATATGTGGTATAAAATGGCAGACATGTCTTTTGAACATCAAAACCATTCTCTCCTACTGGACCGGCAAAGGGTCTACATTTTTAGTAAGCAAAATACAGGTATTCAATCTCATTTAGTGGAGTACTATGTGCCTTCCACAAACCTCTGGTGTTCATTTCAGTCAGGCTTTAAATATGATGAGCAATTCTGTAGTGTGTCAGCAGTGAGTGGTTATTCATTTTTAAATGCTTTAACCTATGCTGAACAACAACCTTACATGTACACATATGACATTAATACTAATAAATGGAATATGCAAAAATATACGCCTATAAATCGATGGGGAGTCTGTGCCATATCACAGGGACATCACATTTATATAATAGGTGGTACTCATTTGGAAGATTCCGTAGCTGCTGGAAATACTAAAGTGGAAAGATTTAATCCAAGTGATGAGGGTGTGGAAGAGGTTGCACCTTTGAATGAGGCAAGGCACAATGCCTTTGGAGCAGCCATGAATGACAAGATATATGTAGCAGGTGGAATTCAGTTGAGAGAACAAAGATGTATACTTCTCAACACATGTGAGGTATATGACCCATCAACCAATGCAATGAGTGGCATCTGATGGCAGAACTCTGTGTACCACGTCATTCAGCAAGCATGGTCTGCTTTAAAGAAGCTTTGTATGTTATAGGTGGGTTAAAGAATACCAACAATCAAGTTGTAACCAGGGAGTTGTTGTATATTTATATTAAACTAGTATCCACTGGAAAGAGAGGAGAAGTCGTTACGTCACATTGCCATGGTAGCAAAGTTTTGGATGACAACAAATCAAAACGTCGCTTAAAAAGTGGATTCGACTCTTTGAACTTCATCGATCTTAGGTAAAAAATTTCATTTATTTTGTCAAATGTTGGCGAAATTTTCTGGGTTGAATGCGAAAGGACCATCTCTAAGTTTAGAACAAAAAAATTTTTGTGTTGTGCTTACCTACTCCATAAAGTGGGCAAGTGAAATTAGGAAGTTTCATCCAGTCGTGCAACAATGGCTAAGAAATGTACAAAAAAGCGTAGTGCACATGCAAAGTTGTTCTTTTGCCAATCTAAACCTATTGCTATTGTTGTGATCCAGAAATTTTGCTCCCATAATAACGTGACGTCACACTTCTCCTCTCTATCAGTATTCCCAATGAAGATCCCAGGGGAATTTGACCCTTTGTCTTCTCATAGGCCGCATCTGGGGATTATGGCATGACCCGCTTTGGGAAAACAGGGATACCAGCTAACTTACAGAATTTTGCGTTTTTCAGGCTAGCAAAGACGAAACCGAAGCGGCCGAAGGACGCGAGAGTCGAGACACACTCGAAGGAACACACGCCTGGCGTTTTTCTTTGCTCGCCTTAAAAAAAGCGAAAAAATAATCTTGTTCTGCAGGCCAGCGTGGCAAGGCAAGTATTACCGAAACAGAGAAGGGAATTCGGGCGCGCGAGAACGTGAAAAAGGTCTCATGTTCTTGCATTTTACATTACCTAGGCCGGTATATTAGAAGACGTCCATTCGTAGGTCATTCGTTCCATCCGACTGTTTCCGACCTTTATTCCCGACCAATTTTCCCGGTTCGGTCCAGTGCCCAACGTTCCCGTAATGCGGAAGATGCGGAATGTGTTCTAAACTTCCGGCAACATGGCCGACCTGACTGAACCTATGACGGCAGATCCTGCAAGACATCGTGAAGACCTGCTTGAACGTCTCGATGCTCTGAGAAGAAAGGAAACCTTTTGCGATGTGACAGTTGCAGTGAACGGCAAGGAATTCAAAGCTTACAAAGTCGTTCTAGCTGCGGCCAGTCCGTTCTTCCTTTCGCTTTTGGAAAGCGACATGAGAGAAAGAAAAGAACAACTGATCGAAATCAAGCTTGAAGAGGCAACTGCTTCCGTTATGGAAGACGTGCTACAATACATCTACACTGGAAATGTTTCCGTCACCGAGGAAAGCTGCCACAATTTGATCGCAACAGCGGATTATCTTCTTTTACCTGGATTAAAAACATTGGCTGTTGAATTTTTAAAAGAGAAAGTGACAGTTCAAAATTGTGTCTTCAATTTTTACTTTGCTAACAAGTATCATTGTACAGAGCTGACAGAAATGTGTTGCAGCGTGATCAATTTGAATTTCAGTGATGTAATGAAAACTGATGATTTTTTGAACCTTGACATGAAGCAAGTAATGGAATGGGTGTCTAGTGATGACGTCAATGTGAAAGCTGAGGAGGAAGTATTCACGGGAATTGTGGAGTGGGTGTCCCACAACAGAAGCGAGAGAGAAAGCTGTTTTCCTGATTTGATTCGCCAGATCCGCCTAAGACCTTCATCACAAGACATTCTACTAAAAAAACTTGTAAATGAAGACCTTGTTACTACGAATATTGAATGCATGAACTTTGTCCTGAGATCCATTGTTCACTCAAATGAAAGTCTTTCCAGAGAACCAAGAAATTGCTTGAAGGTGCAAATGGAAGGAATTTTTCTGTGTGGTGGCAGGAAGGCCTTGTGTTATCTTCCCCAAGTAAATATGTGGTATAAAATGGCAGACATGTCTTTTGAACATCAAAACCATTCTCTCCTACTGGACCGGCAAAGGGTCTACATTTTTAGTAAGCAAAATACAGGTATTCAATCTCATTTAGTGGAGTACTATGTGCCTTCCACAAACCTCTGGTGTTCATTTCAGTCAGGCTTTAAATATGATGAGCAATTCTGTAGTGTGTCAGCAGTGAGTGGTTATTCATTTTTAAATGCTTTAACCTATGCTGAACAACAACCTTACATGTACACATATGACATTAATACTAATAAATGGAATATGCAAAAATATACGCCTATAAATCGATGGGGAGTCTGTGCCATATCACAGGGACATCACATTTATATAATAGGTGGTACTCATTTGGAAGATTCCGTAGCTGCTGGAAATACTAAAGTGGAAAGATTTAATCCAAGTGATGAGGGTGTGGAAGAGGTTGCACCTTTGAATGAGGCAAGGCACAATGCCTTTGGAGCAGCCATGAATGACAAGATATATGTAGCAGGTGGAATTCAGTTGAGAGAACAAAGATGTATACTTCTCAACACATGTGAGGTATATGACCCATCAACCAATGCAATGAGTGGCATCTGATGGCAGAACTCTGTGTACCACGTCATTCAGCAAGCATGGTCTGCTTTAAAGAAGCTTTGTATGTTATAGGTGGGTTAAAGAATACCAACAATCAAGTTGTAACCAGGGAGTTGTCTGTTGAAATGTTTGATTCTGAAACAAGTGAATGGAAGGAGAAGAGCACCATACCTGTTGGTGATGAAAGTGGAGATGAGAGAGATAAACAAATACACTACAAAGCCTGTACTGCAACAGTTCATAAAAATGTGATAGTGGAAGAGAATCTCATTGATGATGTGGCACACACAGAAAAATGTTCTACTAGGTCAAACTTTGAATTATGACTGCAAGGCTAGTCCACAGCGAGTGGAGGAGTTATGAAAGATTTAATTCATTTTACCATTATTATTCAAACCACCAAAAAATTGGACTGTGAAAATTGGCAGACCCTATATTTGCTTTATGCTCTTTCAATCTCCTTTTTTTAGGGTTATATCTCATGATTTTGGCATGAGTTAGTTCACCTGACCCCTAGAAGCAAAGGTCCCACATCAACCTTCTGAACACTAGTGTTAATATTTTTTTAAAAATCAAAATTTGGCCACGCTATAATGGGTAAAGTAAGTTCATCACCATGTAACCTGATAAACTTCTTTTAACAAACAAGGTTTTGGAAAAGGGGCGTAGTATGTACTGTTCTGTTTACACATTTGTTCTTCTTCAGACATTACCTTGCCTACAAGTGCATTAACCAATGAAATACAGTAGAATTTTGAACCCAAGTTTGAAAAAAACAATAACCAAGGAAATTTTATTTTGTTCTTGCTTGTTGTTCAGCTGCTGAGTGATGTAATGGAGTTGACATTTTTATAACAGATTAGAAACTAAACTTAAGCACCCCTTGAAGTTATGATGGGTGGCCATATTTTTCTAGACATCAATAGGCCATTTGCAAGTTGTCCCAAGCCTCTGTTTCATAATGAGGCTAAGTGTGAAGCTATTGATATGAAAATATTATTTTTTATTCTCATGCAAATAAAACTTATTTTCACAAGAAAGGTTTTGCACTTAGCTTATAGCCTCATTTTTAAAGTGAGAGTTTTGGAACTCAGAAATGGCCTATTGCAGACATTACATAATACTTTGTAAAGAATATATCTGTGTAAAGAATAGGATAAACTTTAAACATTGAATTTAGAGGTAATTTTAAAATCTTTCCTTCCCAAGAGTCTTGAAATCAAACATCAATAAGATAATAATTTTCAGTTTGTTAAATACTGACTTACAACGGTTGTGATGGAAGAGGAACTGCCCTGATTAGCTTTTATTTGAATGCTATACACTTAGGATTTCATCACAAAATTACCAAATTTATGAGAACTAACATTTAGCTTTTATCCGTGATTAACTCTAGGGAGAGTGAAATAGTATTTGTATAGGTAATAACATGATTAGTAGTGATATTATGTTTGGCATAAATACCCCTAGTGATATTTCAAAATTGTTATATGTAACTTCATAAGCCATTAGGCGAGTGAAATTTGAGACAATTTTGAAATATAATGAGTGGTATTTATGCCAAATATCACATACAAATCATGCTTTTATTTGTTTATGCTACTACCTGCAATAGGTTGTAATTTTCACATGTAGGTATTTCAAATTAAGCTGAAATACCACCGCTCTAAGCCAATCAAATTGCAGAAATTTCTCATGTAGTAGTATAGTCCACATAATAACGTTATGATTAAGGAGACAAATGAAAAGGTAGTGGTTTACACTTTTTACTTATTTTATTATTTTCAAGTCATTACAGGATGTGGCTTAAATTATGTTAAGCATATTTCTTAAATAGACACCTTCCCTGGGTGAATTCAGAATTTTCACAAAGTGGGGGGTGTGAGACTTGCCAGCCCTTAAACTATACATGTAGATACAATTTACTTTTTGGTAACAGAACTCTGAAAGCATCTGTATCCAAATAAGTAAAAGCTTTATAGATGACAGATGTTTTATACTGGGAATTCATTTACAAATTTTACACAATCTGAGACAAAATGGGGGCGAGGGGTTTGGGACCATCTAAATTAACCCATGGTTTCCCCCAGCTTGTGTGGTAAGCGCTCTAAAGGGTGAGGAGAATTTGAGAGCACCAGAACGCGAAGAAGGCCCTTCACATTCGTGCATACCAGTGTATTCACCTTTTCCATTTTTTCCCCAAGAGTGACAAACAGCAATTTTCTCTTAATAATATCTATACACAATCGAGAGAATAGGTTGTGAGAATTGATTAAATAATCAGCTGAGGAAAAAAGCATTTATTTTTTTATTCTCTTTACTTATTGTTTTTGGAAATGCATAGAGACCAGTTTGGAGAATTTGTATAAGGATATTGGGGCTTAAAGGATTAAACGCCTCCCAAGTGGGCTGTACTTTCTCCAGATAAATGCGGGAATGCTATCCATTTGGGGTATATTGTAAGAAATCACAAGCGAGAGGAATGCGAAGCGAGACGTGCGAGCGGGGGTAGAGGGGAAGAATATAAAGCTCTCCTTTCGTCCACTCTTGTGACTTTACAAACGGGTGTTAACTTTCCTCACTGATGCAGCCAACAGCTTAATTGTGGAGGAACCAGAGGGGTGGGATTAAATATGTAAAAAGCGCGCTACGCTGCCACCTCAGTCCACATTAAAAGTGATCAAATTTTGAACACACCTCGCTCACCCAGCTCAATGATGGCACAAAGTCAGATAAACTATCCATATCCCAGCCATATCCCTACTCTTTGTGAAAAATATGCAGTTTTGCCAAGCCCCAAAAGGATAAAAATGTGAGATTCTGAAGCTATAGCTGGGAAAAGTAGTGAGAAAAGTCGTCAGATGTCCCAAATTTCCTAGTGGAATGACTTTCAGTGGAGATAATGGATATTGGAATTCGCTACATCACTTTAAAGCTGGAGCAGTAACGATTTAGGTTTTGTAATTTCTATGTTTTGCGGGCGCCATCTTTAAACAAGAGAAACAGAAAGTCTACACATTCGGTGACAGCTGCAAGTCGCCATAGGTGAAAGAATGTAATCAAACGCGCCCGGTAAACGTTTTCCTTGGGTTGAGCTGGTTATCTGTTGATATCTAACTTAAAAGCGAACCCTACAGCTCTAAGAGGTTTTGCAGTTTGACTTTTCGAGAAAGCATGAGAAATCTGTTGCCAACTCGTGAGAGCGTAAGACAGATCCTTTAATCGTGAGACTCACAACAAAGTCATGAGACTAGAAAAGTCTGAATATGTCACGGGCTTTTTACGTCCTCTTCCACCGATGCGCAAGGATGAAGGAACAAGGCCAACGTCTATGTCCCCTACTCTTTCAGTCGTGCTCTTTTTGAACAATATGTCACGGGTTGTTTACGTCCCTTCAAGGATAAAGGAACAAGGTCAGAGGCTTTATGTTACCGCCCAATGAGGCAATCATCTGAACTGAAAGCTGAGAAGGGATTTTAATCACAGCTAGCATGCCTCACCAGTCTTTTCAAGACCTTATTACTTGCGCTGGTGCGGCGGGCTTTGAACCCAGATCCTCCCGCTCAGAAGACCCGCACCCTTCCGACTGGGCTAACCAGGCGGCTCCTTGGGCGGCTCCCTGCCCTCCCCCCACCTAACCTGCGTAGCAGGCGTTAAAGGGAGGAGGGGAAGGATAAGAAAGAGAAGAAGGGGACGCCTGCTACAAAATCGGCGTTTTTTGCCTTTTTCATTTATCCCAGCTGTCACTTCAACGACGCATGACTTCCCTTCCTTCTCTCTCCAATCCCTCTCCCTTATTACCTCCCAACTTCTTCCCTTTATCACCATCCCCCCCCCC